TCAGCTCACAATTACACTAATGGTGGTATTTATATATTGGTCAGTCTTATGAAACATAGAACATAGTACATCTATGTATCGATTCAAGTTAGCACACGTTGAATGATACTATTTTACACACGTCATATTAACTGTTGTTTATTACTGTATTTGATTTTCAAATAAAATTATGAAAAGTCACATTGTCTTCGGGGATCAAACTTTTACTCAAAAAAGTGTTGTTACAAAAATCAACATACTTACAGACTTCTGAGTCGAGATCTCCACACTAGTTCACATTTCGAAGTTCAGACAATTCACAATAATAAAACAATTACGATTCCAACCCAGTCAGTCTGAATACTTGATAAAAAGTGATTTTTATAAGATTAATTTAGCAATAAATGTCAATGACTATAGATTGATTCATTTTTAACTCTGTCAACGTAATTTGAGTGTTGATGATGTTTTCGAGTTTAATAATCAAAACTGCACTCACTTGATTCATTTCACTTAGAAAATACAATGAACAAACTTCCAGGTCTTCCTGTAAGCGCCATAGATTTTTATTTCGGAATCCAACTATTCGTGTGTACAACTTCACTCATATTACTTACTTACTTACTTACTTACGCCTGTTACTCCCAATGGAGCATAGGCCGCTGACCAGCATTCTCCAACCCACTCTGTCCTGGGCTTTCTTTTCTAGTTCCATCCAATTCTTGTTCATTTTTCTCATGTCTATCTCCATTTCCCGTCGTAATGTGTGTTTTGGTCTTCCTCTTTTCCTTTCGCCTTGAGGATTCCATGTGAGGGCTTGTCTTGTGACGCAGTTGAGTGCTTTCCTCAATGTGTGTCCTATCCACTTCCAGCGCTTCTTCCTGATTTCTTCCTCCGCTGGAATCTGGTTTGTTCTCTCCCACATTTGGTTGTTGCTAATAGTGTCCGGCCAACGGATCTGAAGTATTTTCCGTAGACAACTGTTAATAAACACCTGTATTTTCTGGATGATGGCTTTCGTAGTTCTCCAGGTTTCCGCCCCATACAGTAGAACTGTCTTGACATTTGTATTGAAAATCCTGACCTTCGTGTTGGTTGACAGTTGCTTTGAGTTCCAGATGTTCTTCAGTTGTAAATATGCTGCTCTTGTTTTGCCGATCCGCGCCTTCACATCTGCATCAGATCCACCCTGTTCATCAATGATGCTGCCCAAATACGTAAAGGTTTTTACATCTTCCAAATCTTCTCCGTCAATTGTGATTGGATTGGTGCATTCTGTGTTGTATCGGAGAATCCTGCTTTTCCCTTTGTGTATATTGAGACCTATAGCTGCTGAGGCTGCTGCTATACTGGTTGTCTTCTCCTGCATTTGTTGTTGCGTTGGGGATAAAAGGGCCAGGTCATCTGCGAAGTCCAGATCGTCCAACTGCATCTTAGATGTCCATTGTATCCCGCACTTCCCTTCAGACGTTGACGTCTTCATGATCCAGTCGATCACCAGGAGAAAGAGAAAGGGTGAGAGTAAGCAACCTTGCCTAACACCGGTCTTCACTTCGAACGACTTTGTCAACTGTCCTCCATGCACAATTTTGCAGTGTAATCCATCATATGAGTTCTGTATGATATTGACTATCTTCTGAGGCACGCCGTAGTGTCGAAGAAGTTTCCATAATGTTGTTCTGTCCACGCTATCAAATGCCTTTTCGTAGTCAATGAAGTTGATGTAGAGTGATGAATTCCATTCAATTGATTGTTCCACAATGATCCGTAGAGTTGCGATTTGGTCTGTACACGATCTATCCTTACGGAATCCTGCCTGTTGGTCACGAAGTTGGGCGTCTACGCAGTCCTTCATCCTGTTTAACAATACCCTGTCGAAGACTTTTCCCGGTATTGAGAGAAGAGTGATGCCCCTGTAGTTATCACACTTGCTGAGATCGCCTTTCTTCGGTATTTTGATCAGAAGTCCTTCTTTCCAGTGTGTTGGTACTTGTTCCTCATCCCAAATCTTACTGAAGAGAATGTGGAGTATCCTTGCAGTTGCCGCTACGTCTGCTTTTAGTGCCTCTGCTAGGATGTTGTCCGGTCCTGCTGCTTTGCCACTCTTGATTTGTCTGATGGCCATGCTGATTTCTTCAATTGTTGGTGGGCCAACATTGATTGGGAGGTCCGTGGGTGCTGCTTCGATGTTGGGTGGGTTCAGTGGAGCTGGTCGATTCAAGAGTTCTTTGAAGCGTTCTACCCACTTGTTTTGTTGCTCTTGAATGTTGGTGATTACCTTGCCTTCTTTGCTTTTCATTGGCCGTTCTGGTTTGCGGCGATTTCCAGAGAGTTTCTTTGTCGTGTCATACAATTGTCTCATGTTTCCTTCTCTTGCAGCCTTTTCCGCCGCCGTTGCTAAATCTTCCACATATTTACGTTTGTCGGTTCTGATGTTCCTCTTCACTTGTTCGTTAACTTCTGTGTATTCAGCTTGTGCCTTGGCTTTTTCTGCTCTTGTTCGACTGCCTTCTTGTTCCTTCTTTCTTGAATCTTATCCAGTGTATCAACAGTGATCCATTCCTTGTGATGGTGCTTCTTGTGACCCAGGACCTCATGACATGTTGAAGTGATTGCTTCTTTGATCCCCTTCCAGTTGCTCTCCACAGTAGTTCCTTCTCCATTGAGTAGATCATGAAAGGCCTGGGACTTGCTGCTGAGGACTATCTTGAATTTGTTGAGTTTGTTAGTATCCTGAAGAAAGGCCGTATTGAACTTTTGTGATATTGTCCACCCCGTTGTCCAGTGTTTCTTGAGTTTCAATTTCATCTTGGCGACCAGCAAGTGATGATCTGATGCTATATCAGCTCCTCTCTTGGTTCTCACGTCCTCCATCTTCCTCCTGAACTTTTTGTTGATGCAGATATGGTCGATTTGGTTTTGCGTGGTGTGATCCAGTGAAGTCCATGTGGCTTTGTGCATGCGCTTATGTGGGAATATGGTGCCGCCTATGACCAGTTTATTGAAGGCACATAGGTTTGCAAATCTCTCACCATTTTCGTTCCTTTCTCCCAGTCCGTGTCGTCCCATGATGTCTTCATATTCAGTGTTGTCCGTTTCAACCTTGGCGTTGAAATCTCCCATCAGAATGGTCAGGTCCTTTGTTGGGCACTTCTCGACGATTGACTCCAGCCTATTGTAGAATTGATCTTTAGCGTCTTCATTGTAGTCGTTGGTAGGCGCATAGCATTGGATGATGTTCATTGAAATGCCCTCGTTCTTTGTTTTAAACGAGGCTTTGATGATCCTTGGTCCATGAGATTCCCATCCTATAAGTGCATTTTGCGCTTGTTTGGACAGCATCAATGCAACTCCTTGTGTATGTGGAGCATTTTCTTCTCCATGGCCGGAGTATAACAGGAGCTCTCCTGTAGTTAGTCGTTGTTGTTCAACTTGTGTCCAATGTGTTTCACTGATCCCAAGTACCTCTAGGTTGTATCTTCTCATTTCTGCAGCAATTTGGAAGGCTCTCCCGGTGTCCCACATTGTACGAACATTCCATGTACCTAAATAAATGGTTGCTCTGGTTGTCAGAAGGGGCATCGGCCTCGTAACTTCCGAAGGAATTCGGCTTTCATCATGAGGCGTCATAATTCTTCTAAATGAAGACCTTCTGACTCCCAGGGCAGAGTTTAAAAGGTTTGAATAATTTTTTCTGGTTAGCGTTTTTTTAGCGAGTTAGTTTTCTACGGGATGGGGACGCTAACCCCATGCCCAACCCTCCTCCTTTATCCGGGCTTGGGACCGGCAGTATCCCTCAGAGGGACTCCAGGCGGAGTTACTTCACTCATATCCTTATATCTAATTTGTAATGAACACTGTATTTGTCTAACGATCCGAGTTGATATATTTGAATTGTATCAATGAATAATTTTTTTCTTCATTACTTTAAGTTAATTAATTTCTTTATGTTCTACTGTAGTATGGCAACTCGAACTGATGTACATACGTACGAAGTTCTACGTTGTTACTGACTGAATGACTGTAGAACTCAATAATTTACTTTCACGATTCATTCATGACTTAATATGATTAATACACAACTTATCACCAATTTTGTTAAAGATTAGTCAAAATATATTGTTATATATTTCATTATCAGACTATCTGGTTATAATCACACAATCATATTTGAAAGTTTAATTTACTATTCCAAGTATAATGACTTGTACATTTTCTAAAATCTGTTAGAATAGGTTGGAGTTATCTAGAACTGTGTTCTACAGATACATTCAATGTGGTAGTATAGCCAAATCTACTGGATGGAAATTTCACATACTAAAAATTACGGCTTAAGATGATATCTTTAATGATAATAACTCTGTTATTCTAAGCACTCAACTGAAAAAAATGATCAGAAGTATTGAATAAAACACATTTGATGAATATGAAGATCACTTGAGAAAATTGTAGTATATTCACAGTTTTAAGTCATGAGCTGTTGAGGAGTCCCTTACCAGGACAAAACAATCATCTAATGCCTCCAAGTTTCTACTGGTGGTTTAGCTAAGGCCAGTTCAGGATTTAACACTAAGAATATAAGAATGTTGCAAATAGCTTTAGGAAATATATAATTATGATTTATTTAGAATACATTTGTAATCAGAATCAATCCTAAATAATGTTTAATTTGTCTTAACTTTATTATGATTTCGTCCATCCAAATTAAAACATATATTTTTGGTGTTTGTTTTCATTATTAGTGGAAAGCGGTACACAAATTAATTACCTGAATTATTTGTTGTGTGCTTCATATCACTAATCAAGTAAATATATGGATACTCCAGTTTGAAATACACCATTTAGTGTAAGGTCTGTAACCAGACGGTTATCAAACACACTCGCATGCATATGTGGAACCTGTTTAATATCAAACTATTTCGAATAGTTCATTTTTGTTATATTCGTTTATCCATTCAGTGTCTTTTTTGAATTTATCTATTAATGTATCTCACAAATTCTACATTTTATTCATATTTCAGGCTTCGTTCTCTTCATCTGATGATTCAGATATTATGGAAAACAATAATATAACTTCAGTTGATGAAGATGATGATCTACCTTTGTCTACATTCCTTCCCTTGAAATCAGATACTTTGACCAATAATACAACTATTATTAACAATCATCATTATCATAATAATAATAATACTAACAATAGTATTCATGATGAAAAAAATTTCATACCATTTTGTCCATGTACAAAACCTGCAGTTCTAGATGATCCACGTTTAGATGGATTATTTTGTTCACCTGAATGTCTTATACGTGCATGTCATGAAGCATTTGATGTATGGTTAAGAAATCATCATTGTATTAAAAATAATTCTATAATTTAAGTAATAGAAACGAATGCAGATGATAGTTATGCTTTCATAGTATTTGTTATAAATCTCATTTAAATGTGTACATATTTATAAATATTGTTCGGAATTGCTTTTGCTAATCAATGTTGAATCAAATCATTTATATATACATATATATGGGATGTATGATTGAAATGTGTACAGATCATTATGTAGAAAGAACCATATTCTAATGTTGTTCTCTTTTTTATTATTATTATTATTATTATTATTATTATTATTAATTAACAGCATTTATATGAATTGTGAATAGGAAATCGATTTTGTGCACAAGAAATAGTAGGGAAAAGAAGCAAATCTATGTATGTAATTAAACAATATAATATCCGAGTAAAATATCCAGTGTGTGCTTTTTTTAAGAAAAAAGATATCAGTAATTCATTTATTTGATCTGCTTAGTTTAAAGAATAAATGATGAAGTCAATTGAAGTACCGAATTGCGTAATTAGTGTATGAAAATATACTTGTCATTGTACTGATTATGAGTTCTTGTAATTGGCTTAACAAGGATAATTACCCTTCTTTTTTGTAAGATGTCCCAGTTTATTGATAAAATGACTAGGATGGATGATATGATTAGGTTGTTAATGTTTAATCATTGGATCAGTTCTTAAACTTCATTTGAATTAGTCATAAAAGACAGAACTATCAACTGTCATTCAGTGTGATGTGGTTGTTGGCTTATCTCGTTGGTATTTCTTTACTAGATTTTGATCATTCAACAATGAGATAATTTAAAAACCATTACAAATGGGAATAAAATACATAACTGTTATAGATATGAGTAGTTGGTTATATGAACTCAGTTGAAAACGCGATGAGTGTTTGAAGTAAATAGTCCTGAATTTGTACACCCTTCAGTGAACATCAACTCCAAGACTCAGGTATATTCAGATGACACGTTCAAAATACGACGAAACATTTAGTTCGTTACATTCCATTTATCTTATAGAATATCTATTATTATTTGTTTATTACTACAAATTATTAAACCTAAAAATGTATAACTGAATTCATTTTACAATTGATAAACATTGTCAAAAGTATAAGTGCAGTATACCATACAACTAATGATTACTTCATTTTAATAAAACAAGTACAAATTCCTAAAACCGCAATTTTTCTAATGTTTATTGACTTTTTGTTAATATGACACAACATCCCCTCAAATGCCCTGATACGGCCGAGAGTGGGGAGAGTCAGCTCTCCCTCTCGAAATGCTCTCACATGACCACGCGTATATAGCCTCTACCAGGGAAGTCCTACTCACTGCCTTCTCGTGGCGGGGGTGTTGTTTACAAAAATGAGAGGACGAAAAGCGAATATCCGGCGCTTTAACCGGGTTCCAAAACAATGGTGCACATGGGCTCCAGTATCCTGCGGGAACAAATGGCGTATGAACCAATTGTCGGTCATCGGCTACCACGATGCTCCACTGCCTTGTGTGTTAGGTCTTTAGGTCAAAGGCTCGGGGTGTGGCCCCCTAAGAAAACCACCTGCTTCGGTTTGGGCACCCGGGCAGCATCTCCGCCCGCACACAAAAACATGATAAACTATCTACTTATGAAAAATAGTCCTCTCGCTCCAAATAACAATCAAGTGACTCGCATTATTATTATTATTTACTACGTCATTATTCACCCTCTTTTATTCCCACTCTGTTTATACTTATTTTTCCGACTTATACAGCAGCTCGTCTATGGTGGAAATTCGACTCTATCTAAACGTTCTCGAGTCACCGTCCGGTTGAAAATTGTATGTTACCACCGAATACGAGGACTGAAGCAGTTTCCCTGAAACCACGTGCACCATTCAAACTGGATGCCTTCAACGTTCGCACACTTATGATGGTCGGACAACAGATAGGGCTGTCAATGTCTTTAGAAAGTCTTAATATCGATGTCTTCTGTCTATCCGAGACCCTTATTCAAGACTCTGGTGAAGTACTACAAATTCGATCTCCATCTGTCGCTTCGAAAAGCTTGTTTTGCGTGCGCTTATCTGGGGACCCTGTGGCATCTTCGTCTGGTCTTGCTGGTGTTGGTGTCGCACTAAGCTATAGAGCTGAGGCAGCACTAATCGATTGGATCCTCATTAACCGTCAGTTATGTGCTGTTAGATTAGAAAGTTCCATCAAAGTGAGAAGAAATCGGCGTGAGAAACGATGTCATTTCGTCATCTCCGCCTATGCCTCGACAGATTGCAGCCCGGATGCAATCAAGGATGAGTTTTACCACCAGTTATCTGTTCTTCTCCAGAAAGTGCGTTCGACAGATATTGTAGTACTAGCCGGAGACTTGAGTGCTCAGTTCGTACGCCTAGGCACAGAAGAGAGTCGTTTCGGTGGCCGATGGGGACTTGTTGGTCGCAGGACAGATAACGGAGACCGTCTACTACAACTGTGCACAGACCACAACCTGTTTCTGGCTAGCACTAACTTTCGGCACAGTCATTGCCGTTGTGCCACCTAACGTCCTCCCTCTGGATCTCAAGCCTGGACTCAGATTGATCACATCACGATCAGCTACCGCTGTCGTGGTTGTGTACAAGACTGCCGCTACTTTTGGAGTACCTACCTGGACTCTGACCATGCCTTGGTCTGCGCCAATCTTACCTTACTTTTTAGTGGACAACGAAGTGACCGCCACCAAAGGATTGATGTTAGCAAGTTGATTGCAACTTCTGTTTCAACTAATTATCAACTTGAGCTAGCTTCTAGGCTAGCTATCATTTCCACCGAAAGGTATAGATGAGCATTGGTTACAACTTCATGACGCCATCAAAATGGCGAGTAAAGTCGATTGCGACTTCGCGAAATGTCCCGCTTATAAGCACTAGGTTTCTTCAGGCTCCTTACAACTCATTGAAGCCCGTCGGTCTACTCCGGGTGACCGTGAGTTTGACCACAAACGAAGGATGTTACGTAAGGAAATTGGGCAAAGCTTGCGTAAGGACCGAGAAGCCTGGTGGTCGAAGCGTGCTAATGAGTTGGAAGCAGCTGCATCTGATAATTACCGGAAGCTCTTCCAACTCATCCAAGCCACTGGTGTGAGCGAAACAATCTACGAAGGTGACGGACCGCCAATCACTAACATCCATTGACGTCTTGGACGATGGGCAGAATTTTTCGAAGGGCAGTTCAACTAGCCCGTTGCTTCGGCAACATCGGTCGGACTGTCCTGCCCTCCATGGCCGGTGACGACTGATCCACCAAATGAGGCGGAAGTTCTCAAGGAACTCCAACTTCTGTTTACAAAGGTCTGGAAGCTAGAGAGTGTACCAGCGTCATGGGATGAGTCGATAGTTGTCCCTACCTTTAAAAAGGGTTCACGTCGTTCCTGTACCAACTATCAGGGGTTAAGTCTACTTGCGATAATACCCAAGCCATGCAATCCGCGCTTAATCAGTTGGCTATCAATGTCCGTAGGTACGGTATGTGCTTTGCACCTTTGAAGTGCAAAGTGCTTTTACAAAACTGGCAGGATTCTAATCCTGTACTCACCCTGGATGGTGAGCAGTTAGAAGTAGTCGAGAAGTTCGTGTACCGTGGTAGCTGCATAAGTGCTGGTGAGGGTGTGAGTGGTGAGATCAATGCACGTATAGTGAAAGCCAGAGCGGCTCATGCCAATCTGGGCCATCTTTGGCGCCTTCGTGATGTTAGTCTGGCTGTAAAACGTCGGATCTACAACGCGTTGGTGAGAGCAGTTTTGCTCTATGCTTGTGAAACCTGGCCTCTCCGAGTTGAGGACGTTAGAGGACTCTCTGTGTTCGATCATCGTTGTCTCCGAAGGATTGCTGACATCCAGTGGCAACGCCATGTTAGTAATGCAGAGGTTAGGCATCGTGTGTTCGGGCACAGAGATGATAATTCAATCGATGTCACCATCTTGAAACACCGACTTCGGTGGCTTGGACATGTTCTCCGAATGTCGTCCCAGAGAATTCCACGTCGTGCATTATTTGCGGACGCTGGGACTGGTTGGAAGAAGCGGAAAGGTGGTCAGTATATGACATGGTGTCGTGGGATGAAAGAACGCCGCAAAGGGCTGGCTTGTGTTGGTCCTTCACGACTCCCTGATTGGGGTCCTAGAAATGGTGCTACACAGTGGCTAGAGACGTTATCAGATATGGCTTAGAATAGAAGCTAGTGGCGATCCTGCTGTAACCTTCTTTTACTTTCTTCATAAAAAGTGGTTGTTTCTTCCTTAACTGAAGGGTTTCTTCTGAGTGTATTTTACTGTTTTTCCATTAGTACCACTATTATTATTACACTACCTTATACCAATCTCCTCCTTATTGTTCTTTTTTTACCCTCCTTACTTTTTCTTTTTCCTTCTCTTTAAATTCTCATTGTTTTGTGTGGCGCATATTTATTGGCTCTCTCTTGTACCAATATGTATGTGTTCAAATAAATAAACAAAATGTTAGTGCGTATTCAAGACATGCAGACTATCATACTGATGATAATGATCATTATCTGTTGAGATCTAAACAGATTATTTTAACACAATGCAAGATATCGATACATACTCGTTTTATGGATGGGCATTCGCAACTTCTCAATTGCTTAGGTATATTCTTCAGGCGAGACTATAATTTATGGACGAACCGATCAGATTTACGATAACATGTTTTAGATTTTGGCGCGAAATTCATTCATCAACTTGGCAAAATAAAGTTTCGGCATTAAAGCTGATGTCAGTTCGTGATAAAAACCGTAAATGTTATTCCTAACCTTAAACGTCAACTGCAAATCACAATTTGAGGTCCTTACACAGGTTTATAACCCTCATTTAGTTCTAGTTATTAGGTGGACACTCTCAAGGTCACTTTAGCATCGCTCAAAGTTGTCCATAAACTATAGTTTCACCACTCTTCAAAATAAGTTATTCACGTGAAATTATTCCTTGATGTTTTGTGAATCTTCTAAATATTTAGTATTCTGTTACTGAATTTGAGTTATTATTATTTTTTTCTTTCTGAATATGTTTTTATGATGACTGACCTACTGAAACGTCAGTAAATAAAGTTCGTGTTTTCGTTCTCTGATTTCATTTAACTAATCAATCTTTAGTGATCTATCTGTGTTGAACTTTACAGAAGAATTTAAATCTTAAATTGATTTTCATACTTAACTTCATTCATGTGCTATAGGATGTCGAATTGATAACTATAACGTAGAGTTTGTTACAGATCAGATCATTCTCTTATTTCGTATACATGTTTCCTTTTTTGTATTTTTTTTCTCACCTATAGAGTATTCAACTAAAAATAATTTTCATTTTATTTCTTGACAAAATGAACTATATTATAATTTGTCTTCAAGCTATTTTGCTCGAGATTGTAAAAATTAAGACTAAGTTAAAGTCTCAGGTAACAAGATCATGGTAGACGACTGCCATTTAACACATGTTTACGACAGTTAAATTCGTATGATTCAATCATGCTAGTATTATAATGAATGGGTCAAACCACAAGAATGTATCCGTATATGTATATAACAAGAATTGTGCAAATAAAGTCAGACTATGTGAAGTATGAATAATGACGAAACTACTTACAAACAAACTCAATCTACATTAATTATCATTACAAGTGATGCGGAGTAGTTTACATTCTTTCTACTTGTGCGATGTCAGTCAGAGATAGAAAATTCTACAACTATAATTCAAAAAACGACATGTTATTTTCGAATGGTTTTTTCATTAATAAGTACTCAATTAATAGAAACCTTATTTCTAACTTCATTACAGTTTTGTGTTAGGACTGACTAAAACGCGAGACCATGTTTTAATTTAAAGTAATATTTACTCAGTATTTACGTGAAATCAGTTTTTGTATTCCGTTTATTTCAGTTATGTATGATTTTTCTTGGTTATTCATCAAACGATAGTCAAATCTACCTGTTAAATGAGTGCGTTTAGTCAAGGCTCTTGTTATGTTTTTCCGCAGATTAGTGAAATCTACATCTGTCGTACGTTTTCCTAGAATCATGCAAATCTCAGTTTTTAGCTATTTAAAGCATCAATTATCCACAGGTTACGTCTTTCAAATTATTCATTCTCTAAGTTGTAACAAGTATATTAATATTTAGAATAACCTAACCTTAGTAACCTGTGTATTTCTGTAAAGATTTCAATTTAGCTTCAATTACCACAAGCGGGTTGCGTGACAATCTACAAGGTTAAAGAAAGATAACAAGACATAAACAGTTTCTGGGTTGAAGGAACTTGGGATAGTTGTTCACTTGATGAGAACGTAGATACGGGGAGCAACAGAAAACCTGGAGATGACAGCCACAAACATAAGAATTCGATGATGATATCAACAAGGAATGACCGTGTTTGAAAAATCAGATGTATTAAGATCGTGGTAGAATGAAAGGTAGCTCATAATGCTCCTGAACAGAGTCACGCCTAAACCAATCAATTTCTAAGGCCTCTCCAGTGCACAGACTTTTGGTTTGTACTACCTCTGAACCCAGCCAACACATCATCAATCTACATCTAAGAATCACTTTAACTAGAAATAAAATACTAAACAGAAAACTATGTTATTCACTTTACACAAAACCTACTAACAATTTTAATACATAACGTAAGACCATCAACCTACAATCGTACATCAACCGTTGCCTATCTTGATAGGTGATATTTGCTTATGTAGGTGGGATGAAAGATGGCATCAGTCCGTGATGTCATTGGCAGTTGAACTAAGTTATGTTGGTAGGTGTAGACTACTTGATTATGGTTTGAGAAACTAATGGGACCAATGTTTGGAGACTGATTGACAAGGCTCAAGGTCAATTGCAATGAAGCAGAAACAGTCTTCTTTTAGATCTTGAACTGACGAACATACGCGCTAGTATATGCGTTGCTTATGATTAACATTCAACCACAGCTATAAGACAGGGATTGCATTCAAAATATTTCTACTACACTATGTAGTCGGCAGATCGAAAAGGACATTGTACAGTTCATAGATTCATGCGATCGAGGTGCACACTTTAGCGATCAAATATTATGAACACAGTGAAAACAATTTAAGTTTACTTGATAAAATTTCCAAGATGATTGATGCAATTCACGTTATTTATATCTCATACTTTCATGTCTTCATCCAATATTTTGCCCCATATCACTATATCAACACGACCGAATTAACCAGTCCCAGAGGACATGTTCTTACTCATGAGCTGGTTGGTATCTTTTATATTAAATAATAAGTGATAATAACAGGGAGCCTAAGTGTCTGATTGTCAGGTTTACCACGATTAAAAAAAGTATATTTAGAAATTTGAGTTTATCATCAACATGTGAAATTCACAAACTGACTATTAAATGGTGACCAATATCATCTTCGAATAGCCTTTAGTGCTGATCAACAGAATTCAATCAAAAAAGTAACCAAGGGATGTAGATATTCTTGTTACTAAAGGACATCAATCGCGCCTTGAATAGCCTAGTAGCGATAACATCCTCCACCATAAAGCTGGGTGATCCGGGTTCGAATTATAGATGTTATGTCTATTTCGTCAGGTTTCCAGGTACACCTTAATGACGAATGTTATCCCTGTAGAATGGAATGTATAAGAATTATAAAGATCGCATTTCGAATATCTTGATATTATTTCGAATAATAGATTATACCAGGAACACGCTTTGCCGATTGATACATAGCATAATTTACAACCTTGTAGACCAATGAAGAACTGAGAGTTCATTTGGTACTCATGATATACTGAAGTAACTACTTGTTAATTACTTAACAGAAGGGGTTTGTGGAGATTTTTAGAAATTTTCACAGATTGAAATCATGAGTCAGTTGAAGCTAGACCACCATTGAAAACCTGGAAGCACTGGACGGCCGTTTCGTCCTAGTATGGGACTCCTCAGCAGTGCGTATCCACGATCCCGCACCACGCGGGGTGGAGTACCAGCGGAGTACAACCAGGTCTGCTGTGAGATATCAGCTCACTGAAGATAATGGTATATGGTGGCGCAACTTCGTGGATTGGTTGAAGTTAGACATTAACACCGTTGGATGCCGGCTCAGTGGTCTAATGGTTAGGTGCTCGCGCACGAAGCCAGTAGGTCCTGGGTTCGAGCCCCGCGTGGTGCGGGATCGTGGATACGCACTGCTGAGGAGTCCCATACTAGGACGAAACGGCCGTCCAGTGCTTCCAGGTTTTCAATGGTGGTCTAGCTTCAACTGACTCATGATTTCAATCTGTGAAAATTACTTAACAGTCAATTTGTGATTCAACACTGAGTGAACCAACTGATTCAAAGACTTATTAAGGTATTCAAAATAGGAAACACTACTGATCACAGTCGAAACACGTAGTATAAGACAATAAAAACAAGTAGAGATGATCATGTAAAAACTGATTTATTTACAAGTCAAACACTCCTCATCATTACTACTAAGCTTTCTCACACGTTTTAAAGATTTGCGTTTTGGCTGCTCAGTAGAGGAGCTGCAATCAGCTTTAATAACATTATTATTATTATTAACACAAGATAGTATTTGACAATTTTCTTCATTAGGATTAGTTACACTTGATTTAATATCATTATTGTCATTTGAAATTCTCACTGGACCCGGATCTTGTTCAATCGAATTATGCTGGTCTGTTAACGAAAAAAACATACGAAAAAAGACCAATTTCAGGTATTAAACAATTTTCAACTCCTAGATTTATACAAAAAACACAAGAAAGTAACTGGAATTCTTTGATAAACGCGACAAAAACAGCGATAACAGTATACCGAGATAATTGGTAATCATGCCAAATCAAGGCACATAGATGTACATATGTGGATAAATAGTGATGTGAACAGGGAAACAAGAAGCCCTGACAAATTACGAAAGCTATTTTCCGGGACGTTATTTCATTTTATTCAAAGCTTGTAAAACACTGACACTTATTTATGTCCCTATTTTATTCTACAGAACATGTGCTTTCGTCCGATGTGTCATTCATTGCCATACCCCTTTTTGTTCCGAAGCTATTGTAATTTAAACACAATATTTTGCACCTTATTTTCTACTCTAATTCTGTATTGCGATACATGCATCCAAAAGCCTCATTTGATTTGCATCATTTTGTGCTTGCTGCATTTGCAGAATAGTTTTAAGGTTATCATCTAAAGATACAGGCATTTTGTTCTGGATCAATCCTTTGTTATGACAATAATATTAGTAATGATAAGAATAATGATAGTAATGATAATAATAATAATAGCGACAATAATAATAATAATAATAATAATAATAGCTTTATTCAATACTATATGCTCAGCGCAATTTTATAGTCCGGTTACACAGAGAATGAGGTTACAATACAATATCAAATAAATAGTGAGAAACATTAACTACGTGGTAGCTTTTACACACCAATGTTCAACAGTCAGTGATTTTATAAATTAATATTGTGTTAGTTTCCCACCAATCAATTTCTAATTCACTCACTGTCTGGCTCCACAGTATACTTTTACTTAAAATACGAACGAATTTCCCGCCTACGCCATAGGATGGGGAATTTCACAAAAGCTGAATGAGGATCCTGGATCTTAGTTGAGATTTCCTCAGACACCAGGTCATCAGGACTGAGGAGATTTACAAGGCAAATAAAGTTGTCAACTGTATTAACTGCCTTACTTCAAATGATCAGATTAAGCGTGATATTTAAACATAACATACCTCGATTTTGGTGCTGTATTGACAGTTCTCTCAAAGTTGCATCATTAAATGGAGGTGAAATACTGTTAAGTGATTGATCTAATTCACTCAATAAGGCAAACAATTCCTTTTCAACTAAAATATGACGAGCTCCTGATGATTTTAACATGACATTCAACGAGAAAATAATGAGTTCTGTTTCCACTATGGAATTTAGATAAACTGTATGATCATCTGTAGATTTCATAGCAGAGATAAGATTTTTTGCTATATTGGAAAATTCTTTGGCATGTTGTTTGAATAAAACGGAGTGTTCCGCTAATTTTTCCACCATACTAAAAATTTTCTTACGATTTCCCTTTATTTTAGCTAAAAACAGCTTATATTATTCTTTGTAATAGATGAATCACAAACTTACTTTTGGATCAAGTTTTAAACGTTGCTTCATAACCATTATAAGTAGTGGTTTACGTTATAAGCGTTTTTGTCCACAAGAATAAATTGAATGACGACTACTTAGCTAAAACTAATAAACGGCGACAATTAAAATTATTTGGTACTTGAGCAAAAAGATAGTTAGCAGAAAATAAGTTACCAAAATATACAGTTTAAATACTTGTTTCTGTAATTATACGCACTTTACCACTCCACTCTTGTTATCACCAAAAGTGATACTAATTTGTGATCATTCCGCTTATGAAGTCTACGGCAACCACTTGATCATAAAATCAATCTTCTTGAACTAAACTTCGTATCAGAAGGCATTCGTCTTTCTTCTTGGTTAAAAGAGCGTTGTAAACTATGTCCATGTACCCCCACCTCGTTATTGTTTTCCAATCGTATCTGCTTCCTTAACGTAGTTATCAGGTTTGCATATAGTAATATTCCAGTTGATCTATATTGACTGGAATACTTTTTTCTTTAGGTCCTGATACTCCAGAAAATCATTTGAGGGACAGTAAGACTAAGAGCAGCAAGCTAGCGGTCTGATGTTATGCTGTTGATCGTGAAGTGTGATAACTAAGGCGTTTGCATCAGACAACAAGCACCTATAGAGACGCCAGCCTGTTACAATGGAAGGAATTAGAAAAGCCCGACCGTACATATATCACATATTATTTACAATACGATCATCAAGACAGTCCTACTGTACGGATCTGGAACTTGGAGAATCGCCACAACCATAATAAAAAACGTATAAGTAATTATAAACAGTTGTCTACGTAAAATACTGAATGTCCGTTAACCAGACGCCATCAGAAACAGCCCAATGTGGGAGAGAACAAACCAACTTCCAGCTGAGGAGGAAATTAAGAAAAGAAGTTAACAGTGGATAAGGCGCACATTAAGGAAATCATCAAACTGCATGACGAGGCAGGCGCTAACTTGGAATCCTGAAGAGAAACGAAAAAGATTAAGCTTAAACAACGTACTGCGTCGACAATTGGTAGCAGACGTCACAAAGGACCAATAGCAGCTGGAAAGGATTGCCCAGGATAGAGTTGGATGGAGAATGCTGGTGAGCGACCTATGCTCCTCCATGAGGGGTAACAAGCGTAAGCATCTTGCCCCACGAATCGCCATCTCCTGTGGTAGTACCTTTTGAAGCTAACACATAAAAAGCCTGCCACAAGACAGTCGTGTGTGACCAGTTTTAAGACGATGTCCCATGGGCCTTGAGGTCACGCTCCCAGGTAGATAAGACTGTCACTAATCCAGTTTGTTCTTCAGGTCTCTCAATAAGAGGCATCTTTCTATGGTGTGAGCAACTGAGAAGTGATAAGTGTTCTCACAGCTTTAACAACACACGAGATCATACCCTAATGAGAAGACGCACTTCTATGCATTTCACTGGACGTGAGTAGGTCAGCAAGAACTTGATATTGGACTATCAAGTTTTCAGTTCCCTTTGCCATCTGAAGAGGAACTTCGAACGTTAGATACATGTCTTTAGCAAGAAAACATAAGGGACAAATCTGCAAGTTACTGAATTCGTTATATTGTTACTTCACACTGTAGACGATCATGGTGATGCGATTAACAGATGATAATCCTAAAACCCCATGCGCTATATCTTGTCATACGTCATAAAACCTGAAATCGCCAGACACTTCTGATTATCTGGCAGTCACGTAGGAAGAACCTACTAAACTATATAACGTCGCGAAGCAAGGGCAAATCCATGGAACGAGAGACATCACAGAAGTGTCATGGAGAGAAAATAGAAAATGCGAGTACTAATTGCAAATGATAACCTTTCTATAGGTTCAGTGTTCAGCATTAACGAACATCACCGTAAGTCTCACCTTAAAAAATGATGGGAGTTAAACATTGTTGTAGATGTTGGTTTATTAAACTTCGAAATTCACGAGAGGACTATTTTGATTCAGGATAATAACACTGCAGTTCAAAATGGGGGGTTGGGTTCTTTTGAATTTATTTTTATGTTAAAATAAATTTCCTAATAAAACTTTCTGTTACCATGCATTTACTTCCTCACTTGGATCTAGTACGTTGAGACTAATTACGTGTATATTGTTATAGCGTGTCTGATTTCATATTCACTTAACAATTATGACACAATGAATAACGCATTACATTTAATTTATCTACTACATCGTAAGTAACAGCAAACTTGAGGTAGGATAAAACACACTGAATGTATTGGTAATCGAAACTGGGTGGGGTCTGTCTGTTATTCATCATGGTTTACATTACATCAAAATGTTGGAAATTAAATAGAAACAGATTCACGAAGAAATGCGAACATCTCAGTACTCCTCATTCATCAAATGAAAATGCGTGACGAGCATTTATTTGCTAATAATCTACCTGCAAACTGTTATTTCCAGTTAATAAAGGTTTTTGCCCAGTATGTTTTTACAATTAATCAAGCGCAACCAAATCTTTGTTTTGTAGTGGAAGTGAGGGCGAACATGGAGAACATTTGTGGCTAGGCGAATAGAGGAAATTTGGCGGCATCTCAAACATAAAGCGAAAGGGGGAATCCCGCACAATTCTATTTTTAGTCCTCTATATGCATTTGGATTCTCTCAAAGATTTATCTTGAGTTCGCCTCCATTTCCCATTTCGTTTGCTTGGGAAATTACCCTGTAAAACGTCATCTAGCTGGATGGCTAACCATTAGTATACTAGTGGTTAGAAATTTTAGAACGATCTTAAGTGGTGAAAAAAATTAACCATTGCATGAAGTTGGAAAACGATGTTAGAAAGGGGACCCGTAAATTTGTCTGGGAAACAGAAATACTACTAACTTTAGTCAATCCGTGCACTGAAAAGTCAATGATTCAGTGGCGTCGTCCATCGTGGAGGTTACTGAGCAATCGAAGGTCAAACTGTTGTAAAGCCATTGGTGCGTCACCTCGACAATTCGTAAGGTCTAGCAGAAGCGGTCAAATCAAAATAACCCCAAATTTGATTTGGGTTTAGCCTCACTGTCTGATAAACTCCATCCTTTAAGTGACGGAGATGATCTTAACATAACGATGTACAATATAGGACGAATATGCACTGATATTGTGCTATCGCGACGATTTACCGGTTGGGACATTTTTGAGACCTGTCTGAAAGTTCATAAGGCAATAGAACATCCTTGATTTATAGTTCCTTGTACAGTATACGCACACTAAGCATGTTATATCAGTATACAAAAAACAGAGACGACCCAACTCCAAAGTATTTTTCGTCATCTATATTTGTACAAATGGATGCCCAACCCAAGCTGCCAGCTTTGGGGAAATTTTCGGGAAATCCCCAAAGTGAAATAGCCTTCCCCAAGGTTTGGGGAAATTTTGGGGTTTTTGTGCCATTTTTTCAAAATTTATTATAGCAGCTTCCCCAAAATGGGCCAAATTTCCCCCAAAATTGGCAGCACAGGCGTAGACTCGACTCGACGTTGATCAGCACACCGGGACCAGATACTTGTCATCAGGATGCAAATGGTGGTAGGTATCGGCATTCCTGCAAAGAGCATGCACCTCCCAACTCACCATCACAACCTAGACAAGGAAAACGACGTCGGTCACCTACGTATGCTTCATTTCGAATGAACTCATCCTTAAGGTCGAAGTATTGCCACTGCGAATCTGGATTTCGAGTCCGTGGAGCAAATGATGAGCTTAAAGTTACCTCAGTTAAAACCATGCACAACTATCCTTCTCCAGAAGGATATGCTTCTATAGATCACTCGAGATGACAGTTGCTGTCAAGTGAACGATTATATTTATTACAGTCTTTGTTGAGTAATACACCAACGCGTAGCATTCTACATCTGGTTTCTTGGAAAATACACATTAAACATATCAACGGGATCTTACAGCGCGTCCAACCAAACAGAATTATTCGGAGAAAATGGGAATATTTCTATGATTTGTTTCAATAGCAGGGAGAAAATGGCTATCTGCCACGCGTTTCTAGAGGTAGTATATATCGCCTCGACAACGAAGTTGAGGAAGTAACGAATAATAACAACCTTAATTCGAAGTTTTCGACCGTTCTAGCTAGTCGTTACTGACAGTCTTAGGCAAGAGCACATCGTTATGCATGCTCCTCCCAGGCAAAAATGATCCGAAGACGTCGTAAGGCTACTCGAGTACTTCAAAGACACGAGTGGTACATATAATACACACAAAATTGTTATGGATTCCATAGTACAGTCTGGGCACATTCATGCCGACATAGTGCTATGACCGTTTCAATTTTTAGTATTTTTCAGGAAGCTAAGCACTAACTGCACAGATCATTTGCTGTAGTTCAGAGGTCCTGATCTTCGCAAACTCTTGGGATATCTTATAAGAACCAAGCGATCTAACACGTTAAATTCTTTTTTTTATAATCTACTATATTAAGATCTGCTACGAAGTGAGAGTGCTTGAGAACCCATTTCTCACGAGCCTGTGGATACATAAGAAATAACTGGGTTGACCGGAAGTCAATGTGCGTTCCTGTTATCAGCGGCATGAGCCAAGCCTGGGTAACCACACAAACAACGGTGTGGAAAGTGCTCATATACACTTAAGAGAATATCTCAGGAGAGGAGTAAGACAGACGTTGACCTACAATTCCGTCAGTATAACGCAATAAAGAATCTTCAACGTTTCTTAAAACTTGAGGCAAAAGATATAATCAAAGTACCATCAATTTCAGATTCCAAGATCACTTCAAACTCTTGTAAATGAGCTCACAGCTTTCATAACGAAGATTGTCGGTGTTAATTGCGAACGGTTAGAGAGAATGAGGCAGGAAGTAATAGCAGAAAAATGCATTTTATGTCACGACGAAGACAGTATGTAAGACTGATAATTCGTATTCAAGATGTGTTTCTGAACGTTTAAATGAGTACATGTTGAAGTGTGGTCATATTTTATATGCGCATGTCAAAGATCTAATTCGTGGAGGTAAGTGTGCATTTATTGGTCGCTATAACCATCACAG